ACACACACACACACACACACACACACACACACACACACACACACACACACACACACATATATATATATATATAAATTATATTTGTATGTGCGTAGATGGTATGTGCTCAGAAAATATAACAATATAGTTAATATACACGTCGTGCAGATATCGCCGTTATCAAATCGGGCGGAACGGTGCGTTTGATAAAAATTCAAAACCCAAAATAATACGTCGCGTGTAACAGACGCAAACAGTGTCCGCGGCATGCAAAGGCAGGGTGCAGCGCGTGTCGCACACGCGTTATCCGCAGGCATAGGCGGAAAAGCGATCCGATAAAATAACACTGTGCGAGATAAAACGCCGCGTGCATGCAACATTATGCGAAGAGAGCGAACAAGACTTATTACAGTATTATTAGCTGCAGGCGTGCACGGTTTGTGTAAATCGTGTACGACTTGCGGATATCATGGTACKACGTCGGGGATAAAATGTTATAGATCCAAGACCGCTGCGCTGTAGCGAACGGATCGATCGTCGACGGGTGTGAAAACCGAAAGAAAAATAACGAAATAAAATATAATATATTGGCCGGTTGCGCACATGCAGCCGTTTCAGTGCGAAAACCGTCGCCGTCCGACTACGGTGGCGGTGCTGCGGCGGGTGCGATGACAAAATAACCGTCGCGTAAAGTCACGGTTTAAAATAAATTACAAGCGCATAACACCACACCAATGGTCACATATTATATTGCAACAAAATAATGCAACATACCTAGGTCCTGTCTTATAGAATTATATGATGCACGCACCTACGTAATATTACACTACAATAATATAATATACACTAATATAGAAGTTATGTATAATATTTWATACTTAAACATACACACAAATAAATGTATACACATACACACACATATATACATAATATATAAATATATTTAACACTACCTACGCACTATATATATATATATGTATGTATATATTATGCACACGTGTATACTAATAATATATATATACACACATACTAATGACGAGTACCTGTGCAGTTGTATATTGTATACTTTGGTAAAAGGGCACATCGGTCATACGCACGTGAACACACTGACTTACGTTGTTATTACTATTATTAATATTATTATTTTTATTATTATTGTTGTTGTTGTTGTTGTTGTTGTTGTTGTACTGGCATGCGCCCGAAAGTCGTCGTGCTCATGCGGCGGCCGCTGGTCCGGGACTGTGGAAGCTGTGCGAGCAGTCCCACCGGCAGGTCAGGGGGCTCATTGATTTTCGGCACCCGTTGTCGTCTCTCCAGCCCGCACGGCCGTGGCCACGCGCGCCCGTCACCACGCGCGGGTCACATTGCACCGAAGCAGAACGATTCACGCCCAACCAATCGCCGAGTGCATCGATTCCGAAAAATACGCCCCGGTGGCGTCGTCCGTCCCCAGGTCGGGGTGATGTGAGAGGGAGGCTGTGTGTGGATCACCCTCGCGCCTTGGACGCGGCGGCAACGAAGAAGAGAGCGTTGTTGTAGTAATATAAAATAATTATCGTTCCGGAAGGGGACTGAAGTAGGCAGATATCACCAAGTCGACCGGGAAATGAAAACAATATGGCACATTGGCTGTTGAAAACAATATTGTTTCGTTGGCCGTTTATTTATAGCCCACTGATGTTCGCAGTCGATGAATACCACATAATATTATTTTTAATACCTCGCATCATTATTATAAATATCTAGATACATAATAATATGTTATAATATGACACATTTTTATTATTGTCGTTATTACCGTTACATATTGGTAGTTGACAAGAAAATGATAAATCGTGCAGTCCCTAAAACGTGTTATTGAAATACGACGCGACGTAAATTATTATTCGTTCGGTGTAGATCATATAGCGAAATTATTACCACATAACCCATTTAYACCTAAAGTCTTCATGTTAAGCACGTGCTCGCCTTTAAGACCTATATACGACCGTATTCAATCAATTATTTAGGTCGCAACAATGAAACTTTTGGAAAATTATTAAATAAAAAATACATCACCTGGTTATGTTATATAGAAATATCTAATAATATGTAGTTACAAGATATTTATAACAATAATATTATTATCATGTTCACATACGTATACAATGCAAGCTACACACTAGAGTAGTGAAATTGCCTATATTAAACGCCGTCCTTCGTTTAGCTATTGAATACTATCTACATATTATTGTCAACTACAATGGTCACAAAATATATATGACATACGAGTGTTAGGATGTGTGAACAGTTCGAGGTAATCAATGTCCTCATTTTTTTTATTTAATGCGTGTTCTATGTTTTGATTTACATTAACTATGAAAATTAAATTTGATAATCTCGTGTACAGTGTAAGAATAATACATACCAGTCAAGATTGTTTAATATTACCAATCAAAGTAATCCAACTCAATCCAATGCATTAGAATAATTATAAAAAMATATTTGCAGCAATGATAAAAAGTACTACATTAAGGAATAAATAATGTTACCAAGTAGAGAAGAATATTTTATAGTTTATTTATCATATGCAGGTATATGTTATATTATAATATATTTATTTTTGAATCAAGTAACAACAATCATTTGAAAATTAATCAAATTATTTAAAGTTACTGTTTACTATTGACTTATAATTTATAAGATGTAGAATATAGATAGTTATGGATTTTCTTCAATACTTTAATATTCAATACAAAAAGGATATACATCCGTACATAATAGTTCATCAAGTTTAGGTAGTTAATTACACACATAAATATTTGACTACTATCAATTTTAAATTATAGTTTATTATAGTTTATAGTTTATAGATTATAGTTTTTATTATATTTTTTGACCAAGTATATTATGAAAAACAATAATAGTAAATTACTTTGGATTATTCATGCCTATATTGTTATACTATTCAACGGCAATCAACGTTGATATCATTAAATCATTTCATGTACCTAAGAAGTTATTCTWAACTATATTCTAATATATTATTTGTGTATACGTTTTGATTATAACTTATAAATTAAGAGGTTTATCCTCATATCCTAAAACCATAACTTGTTGAATTTTATTCTTAATCCATTTCAAAGTCGTTTTGTCGTTGTATTCGATACATTTCTCATCTCCATGAAAAAAATAACTCGAATGATGTTCATCCTATGCCAAAAAAAAAAATGAGTATTCAAAACTTTAAAATCGTTATTTAAAAAAAAAAAATGTTATATATTATGTTAATAGTACATTCGCTCCGCCACTTACTTGCCGAACTTTGAAGCTTAATTTATTTTCTTCAACTGTTGGTACATCTATGATGTTATCAACATAAATACTCCATTCGATTTCCCACGGTCCCTTAGTACGATATTTTTCGGCCAAAATTACTCGTCTAAAATAATATTTAAATCAGTAAAAAAAAAAAAAATGTCAATACTAAATTTTACATACCTTAATGTAATAAGTAGGACTTTTTTTCCTTCTGGAAGAAAACTAACGTGTGCCCAATAACCATCATTTGATAGAGAACGACTCAACATTTTAAACAAATGTAGACCGACAGCTTCATACATAGAATAGCTTTTCATTCCCTAAAACATTTATTTTATTTATTTATTTATTTAAATATTATTAATTTACACAACAAACCATTGGATTGACATATCTTGGAATTCGTGTTCGCATCACTACCTCTTCGCCTGACTCAATAATTCTAAAATCACACAATATATTTTGTGAATACATTCGCAAGTAATGTAGTTTATAATACCTTTTAACTCCATCATAAGCCATTGACACCTTGTCGGAAACGTTTGATTTTGACAGAACTGCCAGTAAGTTCCGACCAGGACCTCTGAAAAACGACTCTGCAGCACTCTCGTCCTCTCCACCTTGATATTCCATATTAAATGAATAATCACGATGTAATCTATGTAAACATTACAAATAATACTCACCAACATGAGGTCTTTGTATTGCACCAGACATAGATAACAAAACAGACATTTCTGTTCCTTTGTGAGCAGAAATCATCTGTTCAGGAAATGTTTCCTCAAAATTCCATTTTTCTTCACTTTCAATGAACCTAAACGAACCTTGTACTTCTTCGACAAAAGGTCCTAAGTATTCCTGCATTAGTAAAAATAAAATAAAATTATTGGTATAAAGTGTTGAAGAATGCGTAATTTTCTGCTTACCTCGAAGTTAATTTTTTCAGCATCAATCTCGTTCATTTCGTAAATATTTTCCAATACATCCAAATTAAAAATAGAAACATGGCATTGTTTTAATAATTGCCGAGCATAATATTTTAATCCGTAGCTAAACATTGAGTTAAATGATTCTTTATAAAGTCCTTTTCGTGTTAAGCCAGTCACACTAAAATATTTKAATAAAGAATTAATATAAATTACATCGAACAATTACCAAATCATACTTGAGATTTACGGCTTTTATGTCATTTAAACGGTTCGAATGGCCATCAAGTACATACAAAAGAGAATCTGTTGTAAAACTATTGGAACTCTTCAACGGGCTGAGTTCGGGTACTTTAGCCGAAAAACTTAATTGTACATTAAATGGAGAACAATGAAAATACTCAGCAAACACCTTACCAGGTTTTCTTCCCTAAAATATATTCATTGATAAAATCATAAAAATAATATAACTACTAAATACGTAATATCCGAACTACCTGTAAGAATAAACTGAAAATTTACTGGACTATGATAGCATGGTATTTTCTGTATTATATAGAAGAAATATGGTTTTTCGTAATTTTTAAAATTAATATAAATATACTAATTAATTTCTAACGCAATACATTAGCACCACTACACAGAGGTATTATTAATTTAATATATGTGGTAAACTGGCAAAAAAAATCTCGTTAATGCGAGAAAAATGATTATAATTCAATAATACATAAAACATATCTAATATACCATAATAATTATTAACTATAAGTAAGAACTAAATTATATAATAATAACAATAATATTAATATATAATTTAATACCTATTATTTCATAACGTAATATTTTTATCATTTATTTTCGACTGTATTTTCTCTCGAAACAAAATTGATTTTATTTTTTATTTAATGGAAATAATTATCTAAAGTAAAAATATGCAACATCAGTGGTAATCTGATAAATTATCAACCAATACAGGTAATTTGGATATTAYACTCAATAATCTATTCAATTAAATGTCCTTATCCTTACCGGTGGTATATTAGGTGCATGAAGTGAACTTACATCTTGTCTAAATCTCGCATCTAATGGGCATTCAAAAACTGCAAGGAATGGTGATAAAGTTTTATGCATACAAACCACAAATGTTCTATCGAGTTGTACGGTAAAATCTTGAAGACTTATATCAAAATATCTAAATTTATTTAAAAAATGTAGTGAATATTTTACTTTCGTAATTAATTAGAAATGGTATAAGTTTAACACACTTGTAAACGTCGTAATGATTAGAAATTGTTGTTTTAGTATATGATATTTCCAAAAATGATTTATAACATCGAGGAGATGTCTTACACATAGGTGTTTGATACAATGCAGTTTTAAATGTACAATCCGATAACTGATTGTCCAACTATAAAATTTTAATAACATGCAAAACAAATTTATATTATATAATTTATGTATAAATATAATTTGTTTTTTTTAATCTCTACCAATACTGATACTTATATGAGCCTACTACACATATTTTATTATTATACAAGTATTATAGAAATATTTGATTTGAATATAAATAAATTCTAACTGTACTTGTATTCTATGAATTTTGAAGGACACGGTAGTATTTTTTGAAGTCATTTTGCATCGAACCCGTGCAGCAGGATTATACGAACGACGAAGTTGTCCAAAAAACGGTCTTATCATTTGCATTTTGTCAAAATCCACCTTTGTAAAACATTTATTTAAAACATGTGTTGAAAGTTTAAAATATGTTAAATACTTTCTTACGTGGACATAATCTTTTAAATGTGCTTTTTTATTATCGCTTTTCCACATATCTTCTAACCAACATGCGAGTTCAACTGTAAAAGATTTCCAAATATTTCCTACCCTCACCATCCATTCAGAAGTAGAATCTGTTAAACTAAAATAGGCAATTTCCTCTGTGTGGACACCATGAGAAGTGCTCTGAAATATATAAATTATGAAAAAACCAATAA